TTAATTTTTTAAATCACAACATATTACAGGTATTTATAAAATGATCAGGTATTACAGGTATTTATAAAGTGTTCATTAAGTCTTATGAAATATCCTGACGATATTACATATGTAATATATGTAATATATATATATGTAATACATATGTAATATCCAGCCGAGTCTGCTTACAGACAGGAGGTAAAAGAGCTGGCAGTCTGGTGCAGTCACAACAACCTGAAGCTCAACACGCTCAAAACAGTGGAGATGATCGTGTACTTCAGGAGGAACCCCCATGCACTCCCCCCACTCACCATCATGGATAGCACTGTAACGACAGTGGAGTAATTCAGGTTCCTGGGTACCACCATCTCTCAGGACCTGAAGTGGGACACTCACATAGACTCTATTGTTAAAAAGGCCCAGCAGAGGCTGTACTTCCTTCGCCAGCTGAGGAAATTCAACCTGCCACAGGAGCTGCTGAAACAGTTCTACTCAGCCGTCATCGAGTCTGTTCTGTGTTTATCAATAACTGTCTGGTTTGGTTCAGCTACCAAATCAGACATCAAGAGACTACAGCGGACAGTCAGGACTGCTGAGAGGATTAGCGGTGCCACCCTGCCCAACCTCCAAGATCTTTACATCTCCAGAGTGAGGAAAAAGGCTAAGAAAATCACCTTGGACCCCTCACAACGAGCCCACTCTCTCTTCCAAATGTTGCCTTCTGGTCCGTGCTACAGAGCACCGACCACCAGTACAGCCAGGCACAAGAACAGCTTTCTCCTGCAGACTATCTTCAGCCTGAACAATTAAAACTTCCATAACTAGCCTATACCTTGTCCATCATAACTGGCATACGTATATTTATACATAGAATTCAAAATGTGTACATTTGTAAACTACACACTTGTAAATAACATATCTGTAAATTCATTTAAGCAATTCATTCTACGTCTGTAATATAGTGCATTATTTAATTTTCAGTTTTTATTAGTTTATATATTCCATCTGTACTGTGTTATTCCTACGTATGTCTTCATTGTCATGTATGTTTGCACTATGTCTTTGTACATTCTTCTGCACTGGAAGCGCCTGTCGCCAGGTCAAATTCCTTGTGTGTGTAAACATACTTGGTAATAAAGCTCTTTCTGACTTCTGTTTTTTTTTTTGTCTTTATTTCTGTAGCTACTTTTAATTTCTTTCTAAATTCTATTCTTCTTTCTAGAGACAGAGAGAGTACCCTATCCTATACATATTTGGGAAAAATTTATAAATATTTGAATCTTACAGATGAGAGCTTAAGAACCATCCAATGATTTACTTCCTGGAGCTCAAACTAACTTCAGTCAAGCCAGCATAACTGGCCACGCCGAAATGGCATTTTAAGGTCAACAGTACTTTAAAAAGACACGCCTGTAGGGACGTGAAAAGTGGAAACCTTTTCTGATAACCAGAAGTATCCGTTTTTTTAACAGCCTACACAACGAAATAATATAGCGGGAGTAAGTATTAATCATCACAGCAAACGGTAAACTTACCCATGTCTTTGATTAAAAATAACAGTTTATCTGCAAATGTGGTAAACTCTCTCTTATCATATTCTTCTTCTACTGCTCATATCAAGACCGCATATTTGTTTTCCCTGGCCTCGCCGCCCACAACTGTTTGTTTGGTTTAATTCAACCGCGCAGAGAGCTACTAGGCGCAGAGCGTCGCGAGCTCGTGCTGGAACGCGTCCAGAGACGTGTAGCGTGGGCGGGGCTTTCAAATTCACGGCTTCAGAAAAAGTTTCATTAAATATCTCGGGAATCCGGCTGATGGCAAACTAGAGCATAATTGGATCTCATCTGAAGAATAATTGATCCCTAGTAAGACGGACAGATGATCAAAATGAAGAAAATCGAGAAAGAGAATGAAGGAGTTGGAGGAGAGAGAAAATCCGAAAAAGATCAGGTGTGTTTGATACATTTTATTGTTCATGCTTTGTCAAGTTCATATTTGGTCATATTTATTTTGCCACTGCATTAAAACGAGGTGGCTTTTCATACTATACGTACAAAGCGCTGATTAGTTATAGGGGAAACTCGTAAAACTGTCAAATGTCTGATATGAGTCCTGTATCAACACTGCAAAAACATCAGACGTCCGGAGATCCGATTTTGTGAGTGCAGGTTTATGCACCTGTACGAAGTTGAATGACAAACTTTTCCCAAGCTTTTCCATGTTTCCATACCATATTTTGATATTGTCTTGCACCGCTGCGTATTTGTTTAGTAGACGCTTTTATCCAGTGGACTGAGAACAAGCAATTTATCAAAGGCAGAGTCCTGCTGCCACTCCTAATACATTTCAATAAGTCTCCACCTTAATATGTAAAATGTATTAGGATATGTGTCTTAATATGCAACAATTGTAAGCTACATGCAAATGTAATGACTGTTTTAATGGCGTTTCCAATCAGGTTTGGATTGGATTGTCTCTGGTGTTACTGAGGAAAGTCATATGCAATGATTAACCAAACTTTAAAGCACCATATTAAAATTATAAGCTTGTTTAACAGGTTTTTGCACTTGCTCAATGTACAGGATGAAGATGGGAGACCTATTTATGCACGTACATGCGTATACACACACACACACACATTTGTCTGTCCTATAAGATGTTTACATTTAAGATATGCCAGAGCTTTGTGTTCTATGTATTATTCATTTCACTATATTGCTATTTCATAATTCTCAAAATGCTAAATTAATAAAGCAATTAAAAAGTCATTACATGCATGAAATAGAAATTGAAATGTCATGCATTTATAAAATATATTAAATAAAAATATACACATTGTTATAGGAGAATGAAATGGAAAAATACAACAAATCAAGATGAAGATGGATGATAGCATTGTCAAATTACAGAGCTAGTATATTTTGTGTTACGCAGAATTGTCATCCATTAAAAAGTATATTACAGCTCTTATGTTGGATAAGCAAACATGCTGTTTGTAGTTGAAAACAAGTTGACCATGTTCATTTAATTTTAGCAACCTAAGAAGTCTTTCTCTTTTTATTTTGTTTTAAATGCTCCTAAAGGTTTGATTATTATCTCAGCTTAGCATCTGTTTTAATAATCAAAACTTTTTGAGACTTTTTTTCCCATTGATTATGTAGTTTCCAAATACAGTTATCTAATATGCAGCCGTCTTCGCCCAGAATAAAGTTTTTTATTTATAATAAAATTATAGTTAAAACAGTTATTGGCTAAGTACAATTATTTTGATTACTATAATTATCATATTTTGTTGTTCGATGTGGGAGGCAATCATTGGTTTTGAAATAGTTAGGCAGTAAGTAGGCAGAAGTCACAAATAAGCTGTTAGTTTCTGTGATTTAGAATCACATTTCACACATTTCCTTGGAAATGCTTTTGCCATTCAAGCGTAATCTCATAGTTTGTTCTCCTCAGTCACTTAACTGTGAAAGAAAAGAAACCGGACCTGCATGTGAAAATGTCTCTGACTCATGCTTTACTGTGTAATGTCTGTGTTGTAGAGCTGGATCCCAAAGATGATTAAAAAGAGAGTGTGCACCACCTTTGTGGAGGACTCATCCAGGTACAACAGCCATTTTCCATTTTCTCTCGCATTCAGATTTACTTGCGTATGCAGAAAATCCATTCAGTCCTTTCATACTCTCTTATTTAAAACAGACATTGATCTTCTGGTAATATGATCTGAGCCGTTAAGTAGCTGATTTGGTAATATAGGGTGGGTCAACAAACATGCCGTTTTTTCTTGAATGAAGGTGAACTCCTAGCCATTTGTCAGCACAGTACATTTTCCCTGTCCTTTTCCCATTTACGGGCTATTGTTATGGAATGATTCACAATAGGGTTTGGGCAGGTACTGTTTTCATTTCATTTATTAATTTTAGTGATGATGTGTACATTATGTGACATACTGTTTTCAGCTATTAATGTCTTCATTTGATGAATGAATTGCAACATGAATGCACACACAAAGGAGATTGATTTATTTTTTCTCTTTAAGTCTCTTCCTCTGAAATGATGGCTTGAATAGTTATTATATCAGAATTCTGAAACCTGTTTTAACAGTTCTCTCTCTCTCTCTCTCTGGTCATATCAGATTGTGAAACTGGAGACCACTTTTTTTACAGTGAAGACTTAAAGCAGGGAGTGAAGTGGCAGATTTGTTCACTGAGGTCTTGCATAAGCTTGACTGAACTGTGTGTGTGTCTGTGTGTGTGTGTGTGTGTGTGTGTGTGTGAAAACATCCACAGATGACAAGTCATGAGATGTCCTTAAAATTACGAAGCTGATAACAAAAATGAAACGCTAATGACACTACTGTGGCCTTATAATTTTATCATATATGTGCATTGAATATATTTAATACACGAGTTTCTCAATTTGAGTTGAATTACTGAAATAAATGAACTTTTCCACGACATTCTAATTTATTGAGATGCACCTGTAGACATCCAGAGACCAAGTATATTTTATGAATATTTAACTCTGATTTGGATATGGTTCTGAGTTCATGTTTCAGGCCACCTCTCGCTCACAGAGTAGATCAGGTAGGACAGGTAGCTTTACTGAAATGTTCTGTAAAATAAGTATTAATAACTGTTTTCATGTACCCAGTAATTAGTGACTAGTCTTAAGGTCAGTGATTGACAGGCCAAACTAGTATTACTCAACAGTGGTATTCCTCCAGTGTGTGTGTTTCTAGTGTGTTGATAAGGTTTATTATGTATATGGTAAGAATGCAAATGTATTTAATCTAGAAGTGTTGCATTATGGTAAAAACCTTTATCAGTGATGTTGTTTGTGACTTTTATGTATTTCCATGCAATTTAATTACGCTACTGTGCTGAATCATTTAGGTAATAGTACTTTTAATTGTCTTTTTCCAGGGGCTTGGATCATAACGTCAGGTCTGAGGGAGGGTGTTGGCCGTTGTGTAGGTGAGGCAGTAAGGGATCATTGTGCAACAGCTTCATCTCTTTCCCAGGCCAAAGTTATAGCTGTTGGTGTTGCGCCCTGGGGATTGATTTACCAACGTCAGCAACTCGTAAACCCACAGGTATTACCGTATGAGTCCATTCTGCTTCAGTATCAACAGTTCACACGAAAGCCACACTTAAAATGTATGAATGTCAAAAAATGCACATCTCGTCAGTAAAGGCTCTCCTGTGATTAGTAGTAAATGAACCCGACTTTGCGTAACTTGTCAGTGAACTACGGCTCTGTGTAGTAAATGCCGTTCCATCTGAAAACACGTGCTGGAGATTTACTACTAATCACAGGAGCGCCTTTACTGACGAGATGCGCATGAAAATCACATTCGATTTTTTGCACAGCCCTAATTTTAAGTGTAGTTCAATATCCAGATATGTTTTACAGAGTGTACAGTAGTATTTCACTAATGTCATATAGACCTGAATAGTGTTTTGAACTGCTGTAGGACTTTGGCTAGGCTGCTCTGTAAAAACTTATGGTTGGTTACTCTTTACAAGGGTAGTTTCCCAGCGCGGTACTATGTGCACAACATGCCCCATGAATGCAGCTGCCTGGACAACAACCACCAGGCCTTCCTCTTGGTGGATGGTGGGAGTGTAGGACACAGAGGTAGTGAAACAATGTTCAGAGCCAACCTGGAGGACTTCATATCCCATCAGCGCACTGGCATCTGGGGTGAGAGAAAGAAGAGCACAAAGTCTCTTCTTGAGTCGTCTTCTTGAGCACAAAGCACAACAGCAAATTCCCAAATCCTTTATCTAACACCTTCATCAGGGACTGCGAAGGGAAGCACAAGCACATCCCTGAGGAACCATGCACTTCCTTTTATTCAATAAAATAAATATCAGCGAAGTAAACACAAAATGAGAGGAAGGAAGAGGGAAGTTAAACACTGGTGTGCTGCTATATGAAAAACAGTAGTGTTTTGGCATTTAGTAAAGTAAATGGCCTCAGAATTATTTCATTTAGTAGTAGTAATAATGTTTATTGTCCCTACACAGGAAAGACAGGAAAGTTGTTTTTTGCAGCATTACATAAAATGTAATCCACAATCACAAAGACACCAATATATATATATATAAATGTACACCTTTTAGAATAAAATAAGGCTAAATTTGCATGCAATATGAGGACTACACTGTCCTCTGATGGATCAGAATGAAAATGCAGTTCTGAGACTAATGGAAACTAAACACTAGTGCCTTTCGGTTGTTTGTTTTTACTCAGTTTAATTTGAGTAATGCTATACTTCTCTTATATTAACAAATCTGTCTTCTTCCTGTCCTTAACAGGTAGTGGAAGCATTGAGATTCCTGTTTTGTGTGTGCTGATCGCAGGAGATGCTGCAATGCTAGAGGTCATTACGCAAGATTATTTTAATTGTTTTAATATGAATATATTATATATAATATGGCTTTTAAAATAATACAATTCGTTTTTTTATTAATATTATTTTTTATTTTATTTTATGTACCTATTCAATGTAGTCTGGGTCATCTCCAAAAGCATGAACAAACCAATGCAAATTAAAAGATTACTTTGTTGTTTTCTTCATACTTTTCTTAATGCCTGTAGCCTGTAACCCGACTGTCCATGTGCTATTTGCATTTAGCACTGTTTTTGGAATGAGGCCCACCAGTGATTTATTATACACCTTTTACAGTTACAGTCATAAATGCTTATAAAAAGTGTCTAGGGATCTAAAATGTAAATGTATAGTTTAAAATGGCAGTTTTATCCATTAAATCAGTTTTAATCATATTTAAAATTAACGATATCTTTCTTATTGCAGAGAGTGGATTTATCTCTGAAAAACACCACTCCATGGTTGGTGCTGGCAGGCTCGGGTCCAGCGGCAGACCTGATAGCAGCAATACTGAAGGATCTCAACATACCTCTGAGTCCACCAGTGAGTCCCACTTTACCGACCGCTGCCGAGGAAAGCAGGAAAAGTGCCAGTGTTGAGCTAAGGGACCAAGTGAGAGAGAAAATGAAGAAACACTTCCCTTCTGTAACTGAACTGGAGAAGCTTGTGGATCAGGTGAGCGTACAACAAGAGGCCGAAGGGATTTCTTTTACTTTTAGTTACTTTGCTCTTTTTCACACAGGCACTCAGTATCTATCACAACCGAGATCTGATCACTGTGTTTCATGGAGACCAGGAAGGGCGAGATGATTTTGACAGAATCATCCTTAGAGCTCTCGTAAGAGGTGAGATTAAATCACTTGCTCTGAGAATTCAACACGTTTACAGTATATACTTATGGGTTTATGTGTGCATGTGTGTGTTCAGCTGCTAAACGGGATGCTAATGATCCTAGCGAGTACACTGAAGAGCTGAAACTGGCAGTGGCCTGGGACAGAGTGGATATTGCCAAGAGTGAACTCTTTAATGGTGGCATCCAGTGGAGGGTAGGATTAATAGCAAAATGCATGAAACCAAATGTGTGTTTTAACATCACAGTTTCTATTGATTTAATCTTTCTCTTAGTATGAAGACCTGGAGGAATCAATGACTGATGCGCTGGTGAACGACAAGCCCCATTTTGTGCGTCTGTTTGTGGAAAACGGCTTAAATATTCTGGATTATTTGACGTATCATCGTTTAGAGAGTCTTTACAGCTCACTGTCAGACTGCAATCTGGTGTCCTCATTCCTCCAGAGGAGGCTGCAGGAGCGAGTGGGCTTAGTTGGCTCTCAGACCCGCTTAGCTTTACCTGATGAGAATTACTCTTTCAAGAGCCACGCCACCACCCTCACCACCCCGTCTGCTGCCCGAGACCTCACCCTGTATGAGGTAAAAGGATTTAAGGATTTAAAAAAAAGAACGTAACAGAGAAATTATAAGACTATATATATATATATATATATAAACACGACGGTTGAGTACATACCTAGGTTTTAGTACAGCAGGGGGGAAAACATAAATGCTTTTTTTTTAATTAAACAGTTGTTTACTGAACAAATTGCTCTCTTTAAATAAATACAATTATAATTAAATGTTTTTTTAGGGATAAAATGTACCCCAGCTTCTGCTCTAAACTATAGTGAGCCCTTTTACATTACTATAAGATTAACAACAGAGCCCAAACTTTAGTTTAATTATTATTTATTTTCAAATATAATAATCAACACTCAACTTAAAAAAAATTGTATGCAAACATGTAAATTGCACATAATGCAGTTTTTAAATGAACTTATATACCTTGTTTCATAACAGATTTATTTGTGTCACGCCACATCAAAGAGCATCAAATCAACATTTATTGTTTGAATTTCCTGAAGAAAAAAATTGACATAATTTGAAAGATGAGACTTTGTTTCTTTTCAAAAGTAACAATATATAAATGTCACACACAAAGATTTTTCAAGTATGGGGAAACAAATGGAACAATAAAAACCCTCTGAAATTTTCAGTTTGATTTTCAATTTTATTAGATTGCTCAAGCATGTTGCCAAATAACTTGTACCTTCACCATGCTTTGTCTATACCAAAAATGTATGAAGATACATTTTTAGTGGGCTTTCACAATTTCCTTTGCTTGAGAAATCAAGAAATTATACAATTGCAATTCAATTTAATTTGATTTAGTCGAGTAAGATGTGTCAAATATGCTTATGAGTTAGTTATTATTGTGCAGTTTCCCACTTTCCACAGCATTTCTTACACATGAAATCAAGAACCATGCACTCCATCTAAAAAATAAATAAATAGAACAAGGAATAATAATGATGTCTTCACTAAGATAACATCTTCATTATGATTTTTTCTTCATCTCTCAGGTTTCACGGGTGTTATCAGAAATCATGGAAGATGTCTGCCAGCCATTTTACTACACTCCTCTTGGAGTAGAACAGGGATGGGCCTCAAGGAAAGCAATGAAGGTTCCAGCCAGGTTTTTTCAGAGGTTTTGAGATTGGTGAAATGATTTGACTTGCGGCACTTATGTTAATACATTATAGATAACAATGTTGTGATCATAGTTTCTGTCTTGTCCTTTCAGCATGTGAATAAGTTGCTGCGAACTGAGAGTGTGTACCGGAAACAGCGCTGTATGTCTCCCTGGATAGCTCTGTTCATTTGGGCTGTTCTTCAGAATCGCAGAGAAATGTCTATCTACTTCTGGGAAATGGTATTGTTTTTTTTTATTACTATCAGTCATAGTTGAAACCCATATCATGTTCTCTGCTAATTCTTTCTAATCTCGAATGATATTTGGTCAGATATATAGCCTACGTTTGCAAATGAGTAGGTTAAAGTTGCATATGACAGTGATCCTGGACTCTATACTGACACCTAGTGTCAGTATAGAGTATTCAGCTGTTGATGCAACTGTAGAAATGTCATATTAATTTATTCAGCAAGTAAAAGTGTCCAATAGCAGGAGGGTTGCATGCAGAATACCACAGATGTATTATTTATTATGACTATTATGATTGTTATGAGTCATTGATCATGATAATTCCCTATGTCAGTGTATTATTATTATTATTATTATTATTATTAATTTTGCTTTGTTTTGCTCCTTTCCCCCTCTCTCTTTCAATGCTAGGCGGGGGAGTCGGTGCTAAGTGCTCTTGCTGGGTGTAAGATATTAAGAGAGCTCGCCAAGTTGGAGACAGAGACTGAGACCAAGCTTTCCATGAAAGAACTTGCTCAAACCTTTGAGAATCTGGCACATGGTGGGTGTGAATCAAGTTAAAGAGATGGCAGATGGGAATGATTTTCAGTGTTCCAGTGGGGCCCAAATGTATGAAACAGCTAGTGAAAATGCTTGTATTTTATGTTTATTTCATATATATATATATATGTGTGTGTGTATGTATGTATGTGTGGATGTGTGTGTGTGTATGTATGTATGTATATGTGTGTGTATATATTATAATATTTAAACAGAATGCAGTTTTGCATTCCACGGTGCTGTTTCCATCATTTTTCTATGCAAATCTGCACTAGACAGACGTGTTTGACTGTTACGCTTGCATTTTTCACATGACACACCATTCTAAAACCTTTTAAAAACAATTTTTTTTCATGTTCCGCATCTTGTGATTTTAATGGTCCCTAATACTTATAATATTTATAATATATCAATATTTAGTTTATTTTAAGGTTCTCAGATCTCAGATTTTAAATGTGATCTCAGATGACTGTTTAGTTATAAAGTTTAAAGTCAGTAAGATCTTGTTGTTGTTTTCCAAGAAATTAATACTTTTATCCATCTTTAAGTCTTTAGCATTAAGAAATCTTACATTGCATGCATTATGTGTTTTCTCATGACTTTCTTCATAGATGTGTTCAGTGAGTGTTACCAGAGCAATGAGAGCCGCTCTTTCAAGCTTCTCATCAGACAGTCACCTGTATGGGGTAGCGCCACCTGTCTGCAGATGGCCACCGCAGCTGACGCCCGCCTCTTCTTCAGCCATGATGGAGTGCAGGTAAACAGTGCTCATGTTTACCTGTTGGAGTGTCGATATTTCTTAGTTACATTGGTGTCATGGTTCTTCATCCCATCCATGGCTAGACTTTACTGTCAGAGATTTGGTGGGGGGACATGGACAGCAATACAGAAGTGTGGAAACTAGTCCTCTCATTTTTCCTGCCTCCCTTGATCTACACCAACCTCATCAGTTTCAAGTCAGTACCCAATATTTTCGGCCAAGATTAGTTTTCTTTCTGGTACAGTCATCAAAGTTTTAATGCCCTTCGATCTCTTAGGGAGCAGGAGAAGGACGAAAATCCAGAGGAATTTCATCAGGGTAAAGAATTAGACAGCGTCGAAGGAGCCGAGTCGTTGGCTGATGTTATAAACACGTAATTCATGGTTTCTCAGCACCATAAATAATTTTACTAAGTTAAAGATCAAACACAGATAAAATAAAGAACGTCATACATGTGCTTCACAGGGAGGACGACGTGGAGGAATGTAAAGCTTTAAGAGGAAAACCGGAAGGTGCGTCTAAATGGCATGATCACAAATCCTGTTAAACTTTGACTTGCTGTAAGGAGCTTACATCTTTATTTTTTATATTACAGCATCAAAGGCGATCACTCTAAAACGGCCTTTTTTATTGCACCGATGGCGGCAGTTCTGGTTTGCACCGGTCACTTCGTTTCTAGGCAACGTTTTGATGTACTTCCTCTTCCTTCTCTTGTTTGCTTACATCCTATTGGTTGACTTCAAGCCCCCGCCTCCCGACGGACCTGCCCCCTCAGAGCTTGTGTTGTATTTCTGGGTTTTTACTCTGGTCTGTGAGGAGATTCGACAGGTACGAACAATCTTCATTGCGTTTACACACATTTCAATGCACTTGTTCAGTCTGCTGAATCGTGATCTCCCTCTCAGACGTTTTTTGTAGGATCTACCACTGTACTTCAAAGGATGAAGTTGTACATCCAAGACATCTGGAACAAGTGTGACATCACGGCCCTCGCGCTCTTCATTCTTGGGCTTATCTGCAGGTGAATTCAGTGAAATCTGTCCTGTGGATGTTTGTGCATGTGATGGTATTGGTTAGTGCATGTGCGTTTTTGTTACAGGATGTTTCCATGGACGTATCATTTCGGTCGTGCGGTACTGTGTGTCGACTATGTGGTCTTCACGCTCAGACTCATTCATATATTTGCAGTTCACAAACAACTTGGTCCCAAAATAATAATAGTTGGGAAAATGGTGAGAAGGAGTCTATCATTTTCAACGTGCCCTAAAAAGTGCATATAATCCTGCTAAAGTATGATCATATGCTCCACAGGTGAAAGATGTGTTTTTCTTCCTGTTCTTTCTGGGGGTGTGGCTAATGGCATATGGAGTAGCCAATCAGGCACTGCTGTACTCCTATGACTCTCGTCCTGGTTGGATAATTCGGCGCGTGTTCTACAGGCCATACATGCACATATATGGGCAGATACCACTGGATGAAATTGATGGTGTGTGTGTCTTTGTGACTCTGTTGTGTGTTATTTTTGCTATACAGTTCCATCACAGTATACCTTTCAAAACTTTGGGGTCTATTTAAAATTCTGTTTTCTATCGAAAGTCTATTTTTTGTGACAATGTAAAAAGTCTGACTTTTACTTTTGATTAATTTAATGCATTCTTGCTGAATAAGAGTAGTACTTACTGACCCCAAACGTTTGTACTTTCAGCTGATTTTATTGATTGTGTTGTAATAAGTTTTGTTCTTTGACTCTAGCTGACAAGCGACAGGAGAGAGAGTGTACAGATAATGTCACGCTCATCCATCAGGGGGCGGAGCCATGCCCACAGTCTGATGCTAACTGGCTGGTTCTTATTCTGCTGTCAGTCTACTTGTTGGTCACCAATATTCTGTTGGTGAACTTGCTCATTGCAATGTTCAGGTAAAAAAAACTACACCATCAACACTGATATAACATCACATGCCTTCCTGTTTGTATTTAAAACAATGATTTTATATGGACTTTAAAATGAATTACAGTAGCTGCTACTATGAACTGATGTTACAAGTGTTACATGTCTGTATATGCAAGATGTTAGATTGCTAGATTTCTCCAAAAGTTAGCTCCATGGGCACTTGAGCACAAGCAGGTTGAGTGCTTATTAATTTATAAATATTTTGAAATGGCTTAGTTAAATAACATTTAAGTTAAAAATTGCATCTGTGTAGTAACCAGTTTATGAAAGCAATAATTATTCGTTATTAGCTGATATTACAAATATTTAGTTAATATATACAAGAGTTGAAAAGTTTCAGGTCAGTAAGATTAAAAGAAATTAATACTTATATTCAGCAAGGATTTATTAAACAGATCAAAAGTGACATTAAAGACACTTATAATATTGCAAAGAAATTCAAATAAAATATTTCATATAAATGCTGTTCTTGTGAACTTTCTATTCATTAAAGAATCCTGAAAAAAATGTATCATAGTTTCCACAAAAATATTCAGCATCACAACAGCAGCTTTCAGCATTGAAAATCAGAAATGTTTCTTGAGCACTAAATCAGCATATTAGAATGATTTGTGAAGGATCATGTGACACTGAAGACTGGAGTAATGAGCTGAAAATTCAGCTTTGCCATCACAAGAATAAATTACATTTTCAAATTTATATAGAAAACCATTATTTTAAATGTATTACTGTTTTTACCCAGTATTACTGTTTTAACTATTTTTGATCAATTACATTTTTAAGACACATAAGACACTCATTTCAAAAACAATTAAAAAATTGTACCAACCCCCAAATTTTGAACAGTACTGTATATTGATTGGATATATGTCAGCTGATATCGGATTTTCAATTATTCATGCTCATTTCCCCTACTTTTACATTTAAATAACTTTTGCCATCATCTTATTCTCACATAAAGTTAATCTTTAAAGACATAAATAATGGAACTAAACAGTTAAATGAAATCTTTAGCCAATTTTAAAATGTGTATCCATGATTCATATTGTACATTATTATGCGTAGTGCAGCATGTATTTATTGTGTCTTTTTTTTGTATTTTTAGACAAAATAGTATAATAGCTTTTAGTATAATAGCAAAATAGTTTTATGAAAATAATAATCAGCGTTGGTATCAGACAGAATTGTATTATTGGTGTATGCCTAGCAATGAAACACTAGTGGCAGAAAGGGTTCTTTTGCGGCTTCAATACTCTATTAACAATACAGCACGACCTCTCTAGCTGTATTGCTTAGTATGATTGTGTGTTCATGCTATTTGTCTACAGTTACACATTCAATAAAGTCCAGGAGCACAGTGATGTACACTGGAAGTTCCAGCGCTACAACCTGATCGTGGAGTACCACTCGCGCCCCTGCCTCTCCCCGCCCTTCATCATCATCTCCCACCTCCATATCTTCTTCAAAAGAGTCATTCAGAGATTGCCCTCCAATAAGAGCCAACACTTTAGTACGTTCTGATATATGATGCTACATTATATACAGTCTCATTTGATATAAGGGATAGTTCACCCATGAAAATCCTCTCCCTCATGTCGTTCCAAACCTGTATGACTGTCCTTCTTCTGTGGAACTTTAAAGAAGATATTCTAAGAAATGCATCACTGTTTTTTGTCCACAAAATGGAAGTCAATGACTGTTTGGTTACCATCTACCTTCAGAAAAGAAAGAAAGTCATACAGGTCTGGTCAGACATTAAGGTGAGTAAATAATGACAAGGATTTCATTTTTTGCAGGAACTATCCCTTTAACCATGAGGTGTGTCTTTTTCCATAGTGTTGGACCTGAAAAGCAAAGAGGCCAGTTTGCTAAACACATGGGAGTCGACACTGAAGGAGAACCTGCTTTCCACACAAGGAAAGAAACAACGAGAGAGTGACACGGAGCGGCTCAAACGCACCTCCACAAAGTCAGTCAACCCTGTTACTGTTCTTTCATACTCTCAGATCAACAATTAACAACTTATTTCACATACTTCACATATGAGTTCTAAAAAAGATGAGTGAGTGGAGAACATATCCATCACTGACAAGTAGATCTGTATGTAATACACACCCGGGGGCATTTAGTAACCTCGCAGTGGCGGCTCTCGTTTCGCATTTATGTGCGTGTGAATGGGGGGATAGACTGTCAACTCCTGCTGAATCAGGCACCGGCGTCTTGAATGACAGAATGTGTGTATTTGTGTCCATATGTGTGTGTAGGGTGGACAGCGTCCTGAAGCAGATGTCGGAGATTTGCGATCACGATCGCAGGTTGAGAAAACTGGAGTCGGAGGTTAGTGACGACTATGCACACCTGTCTACCTGTGGCTATCAAACACATTGACACCTGTTTTTAAATCCCAGCAGCGCCCCACAGAGTGCACGCATGCGTCTGTGGGTGCAAGACTATGGGCCTTGCCTTATTTTAGCTGCAGCTGTTGTGTTTGCTTGCTCAGCGCAGACCAAGGCCCATCTGTCATTCTCCCTATCACTGTACGAGCCTTTAGAATGTAGATCTACTTTGAGAATGTGCCAAGCTGTCAGCCGATCGATGTAATTAATGAACCTGTGCTTTAAAGGGAACCTCAGTTTTTTGACCAATACTCTGTCTTTTTCTGTTTGCTTGTTACGCAGGTGGAGTACTGCTCTACTGCCCTCTCTTGGATAGTGGAGGCGCTGTCTCAGAGCGATTTTGTAAAGCAGACATGTCCACCTCCTCTTCCTTCCAAAGGTGTGGTGCTCACTCTCCTTTGCCTTTCCCCCTCTTTGCAGTGTCAAAGTGTAGCTTATGTTTCTCAGGTTCCCTCTTAGTAACAGTGTTTACAGTGTTGGTTTGGCTGTAACATTTTAATGATACTTATTTACATATAAATATACAGTTACAGTACTTTCTTACTGATGGAGACATAACATCATCACAGACTCTCTCTCTCTCTATAAATAAATATATATATACAGTATATATATACAAAAATGGAGGGCATCCTTGTGGCACTCCTGGAGGTGATGTTGTAAAGCAGACACGTCCACCTCCTCTTCCTTCCAAAGGTGTGGTGTCCTGTCCACTCTCCCCTGCCTTTCCCCCACTTTGCAGCGTCAAAGTGTAGCTTATGTTTCTCAGGTTCCCTCTTAGTAACAGTGTTTACAGTGTTGGTTTGGCTGTAACATTTTAATGATACTTATTTACATATAAATATACAGTTACAGTACTTTCTTACTGATGGAGACATAACATCATCACAGACTCTCTCTCTCTCTATAAATAAATATATATATACAGTATATATATACAAAAATGGAGGGCACCCTTGTGGCACTCCTGGAGGGCACAAGATAGATAGATAGATCGATAGATAGAAAGAAAATGTATGTATAAATCTTAGTGTTTTCACATTTTTAATTACTTTTATACACTATCAATATTATGTTAACTATCATGTCTCTTCTGGCTTTGTTTCAGGTATTGCTTCTAAACGGCCCACTTTTTCCAGATCAAAATTATGCTGATAATACAGATACGTAATCGTGTGCATATTTTATGAGCTTGTTTTTGTATGATTCTTTGTGCCATTTCAGCTTGACATGTTAAATGTCAAGAAGACATTGTTTTTTACCAGATTTCTTACATTGTATCAGAAAGAATGATATGATTTGTTCTAAAGTTTTGAAATATCATATTTTGATTTAATTATTTGAGTTGATAAACCGCAACTAGGGGCATGGAGAAAATGCTCCTTTGATAGAAAAGAAAAAGAAAACAATAAAAATAATGTATTTATAATTTAAAAAATTATCATTTTGTATAAATATACATGAAGACTTCAGATTTCTTTTAAATTAGCATTTTTATCAGGCGCCGTATGTTTACGTTACAGGGTTTCCGCGGGCCCTTAAAAAGTCTTACATTTAGTTGTATCAAATTTAAGGTAATAAAAAGTCTTAAACTGTACAAGAGAGCACAAGATAGATAGATAGATCGATAGATAGAAAGAAAATGTATGTATAAATCTTAGTGTTTTCACATTTTTAATTACTTTTATACACTATCAATATTATGTTAACTATCATGTCTCTTCTGGCTTTGTTTCAGGTATTGCTTCTAAACGGCCCACTTTTTCCAGATCAAAATTATGCTGATAATACAGATACGTAATCGTGTGCATATTTTATGAGCTTGTTTTTGTATGATTCTTTGTGCCATTTCAGCTTGACATGTTAAATGTCAAGAAGACATTGTTTTTTACCAGATTTCTTACATTGTATCAGAAAGAATGATATGATTTGTTCTAAAGTTTTGAAATATCATATTTTGATTTAATTATTTGAGTTGATAAACCGCAACTAGGGGCATGGAGAAAACGCTCCTTTGATAGAAAAGAAAAAGAAAACAATAAAAATAATGTATTTATAATTTAAAAAAATTTCATTTTGTATAAATATACATGAAGACTTCAGATTTCTTTTAAATTAGCATTTTTATCAGGCGCCGTATGTTTACGTTACAGGGTTTCCGCGGGCCCTTAAAAAGTCTTACATTTAGTTGTATCAAATTTAAGGTAATAAAAAGTCTTAAACTGTACAAGAGAGTAATTATGATTTCAGGAGGTCTTAAATTTGGGGACGGAAAGACCAGAATTGTCATGTGGCTTAATGTGACGATTAAACTTCAAACGGCTATTATTTCATTAAATAAACATGAGCGCTGCATGTTTCAAAGTCCGGTGCTTATTTGTGTACTGCCAACTGCCAAACTGCTATATTTCTGCCGTTCCGAAAGCGCCTCCTGCTGGCAGAGAATGAATGTGCATTTACAACATCCAGCAGCATAATGAACTGTTTTGCACAGCTAAATAGGCTAAATGGAGGTTACTGACATCGCTCAGCTCACGCCAGCTCTTACATTAAAAATAAGTTGGAAATATAAAAAATTAATAGTTTCCATGGATCTAGTCTTTGCATCTGTTTGTTTGATGTTTGAATCAGGTCTCCTCTGTTGCCACAAAAAAATTGTCCTAGTAGAACTGCGGTCCTGAACCTGCAGCCTCCAGTATTGCAGGAACACAGTATTGGGGTTGTTTTTGTTCAGACCAATGTAAAAATTGACCCATGTTTTTACCCTGCAAACACACAGAGCTGTAAATGTGAACTGGTGGATCGATAAGAAGATAATGCATTATAAAAATCTAAATGGTAAAAGGTATTTATATGTTATTGAATTAATATAATAATTTATTGATAATCATTGTTTCAATTAATATAAGGATTAATAATTTTGACTCATCCATTTTATTAAAAATGGTTTAAAGACTGAAATGTGATGTGTATAATTTTATAAAACTTTTTGTTTTTGTGAAAACTTGTATCTGAACTGTAAATCATGCGTTTTACAGTCATTTGGGGACCCACCCCACTCATGGTATTAATTTTATTTGTGCAGGTCTTAAAAAAGGTCTTAAAAAGTCTTAAATTTGAGCTTAAAAATCCTGCAGAAACCCTGGTTTAGTAATTTTACTTTAATGGCAAATAAAAGGTTATTTGTCAGTTATTGAATGCATTATTTTTAAAATGTTTAATGATATTTTCATAGGAGCCTGATAAAAAAAAACTAATTTGAAAGAAAAATCTAGTGGTCTTTGCATCTGAAGTCTTAGACTTAAACTTTGAGAATAATGCTCTTGGGAATAAGTATAGTACGTTTCAAATAGAGCTATAGAGCTAATAAATCTGTAATTGCATCTTATGTTTTTTTTCTTTCTTGTTTGTTTTATTTGGTTTTTCTAATTAGACAATAATTTTTTAGCTCTTAATCATTGGTCATATGTTTCCTACTGATATTTATGCTTTGTCTTGTAATACAAAATAATTTATAAGTGAATTTCAGTGCAGATCCAGAAACCTGTATTTTTATGTTTTTTTAAAAAACTGTTTTAAAATGGCTTTAGTGCACCAATTAAACTTAAATTTGCTTTTACATTCTCTTCTTTGCTTTCTATTCTCAGTCTTCACCAGTGGCCATCTGTAATGACCCTGTCCCCTTTTGAGTAGCATTTGATTCCTAGGTTGGCATGGTCTTAGTCTCCTACAAGCCTTACATGGCAAGAGCTGCGGTCGATGAGGATCAGGTTTTCATCTTCAGTAAGTGTGGAGTGAGAGTAGGGGGGGACTTGACTCTTCTAAGGATCTTTGCTTAACTCTAACTGGAGCTAAATCAGCACATCATCTTAGTTTAACCACCCGCTCGGTGTGAACATGGAAGCGCTGCTGTTTTCAGAACAGAATCTGTGTGCAAGCAGCTTTACTTGCATGAACATGCATGTAGAATTTTAACATTTAGCATATTAAATAATTGAATTTGCTATGTTGCCCATTACTACACTCTTACAAATGAAGGTTCTTTATTGGCATCTATGGTTGCCAAAAAACATTGAAACCCCTATTTTTAACAGTGTTGTGTATCACATTTAGCAGATTTAACCTTTAAAGCTTGAAAAGTTTGTGTCATCATCATGTGCTTAGACGTAGACATCAATCATAGGGCATAAAAGCTCATAATATTTGTAAATGTACTCATAAAGAAGTGATATATTAACAAAAAATTATCATATCCACAAAATAGAATTGCCCCAAGCAATTGCAAATCTAAAACTGAAGATGCATATTGAAATATGCAGACTGAACAGAGAAGTGACCAGGTGGAGCGCAGGCTGAGAGTTTTGGTTTATGAGTGAGGAGGACGTGATTTTAACAACTTCTGGTCTGAGTGCTATCATGAAAAAAGTGGGTCTGATCAAGATACCAGGCCATACACATTCAGCTCTTCTCCTCAGAGTAGAAAGAGCAGGATAAAGAAAAAGAGAGGGAGTGAAGATGATCAGGGACCTGATATCTCAAAGGCATGTCTGCATACATATCCACTTTCAACCACATTGCAATTTAACATCTTGCTAAACACCCCCCC